CTTATGCTGACTCTCAAGATATATCAAAAGCATGATAGGGAAAATCATGATACAAAAGGGATAACTGTAGTTGGTAAGTGCCGCAATGATTTGCTCTCATCTCTGCATCTCACTCAGAAGACAATCTTAAACTACTTATGCAGATGACTCCCTAATCTCTCTCCTAATCTGCAATGTCATGGCACTAACAAATCTGCTAAATACTTCCATCCACCTAGATGCCCATAGGCATCTCATACTCAAGAGCCCATGACAGAACCCATTATCTTTGCTCCAAATGCAGGGATTCTTAATCTTTTTTTGTGTTATAGGCCTCCCCTCCCCCACCTTTTGGCAATCTAGTGGAACCAAAGGAACATTCTCAGAATAACACCTTTAAGTGCATAAAATAAGATGCAGAGGACTATAAAGGAAATCCATTTTACTGAAATACTTATGTATTTTTTTAAAAGTTCACAACCCCAACTTAGTAACTCTTGGTCTTAACTTTCTCTTTCCCAAAAACAGATACCATAGTTCCAGTCACCTAGATTCAAAACCTCAGAGTAAACTTCAGTCTCCTTCACCCTTCTCCCACATCCAAATGCCTCTGAGGTCCCTTCTAGCTCTAAATCTCCACATCTCTCATATCTGTCCCCTCTTCTCCACTCACAATGGCCACCACTTAGCTCAAGCCCTCAAAAATCACCTCTTGACCAGACTACTGTAACAACTTCCTAACAAGTCTATTCCCAGTCCAGTCCAGCCTACAAAGAACTGCCAAATGGATACTATTAAAGCACATATATGACCATATCACATCCTTGCTAAAGAAATTTCAGTACATTTCTATTGCTTCTATGATTAAATAAAAATCCCTCTGACTGGCACTTAAGGTTCTTTATAACCTGGATCCAACCTATTTTATAGACAGATTTCACATTATTCCTCCTCACACACTCTCCATTCAGTTAAACTGGCTTGCTGTTCCCCAAACCTGACAATCTATCTCCTGCCTCTCTCCCTTTGTAGGCTCTCTCCCCTACCTGGAAAGCTCTCCCTCCTCACCTCTTCCTTGTAGAATCCCAAGCTTCCTTCAAAAGGAATAACTGATCTGACACCTTCTGTAGGAGGCCTTTTCTGACCTCCCAAGTTATTATTTTCAAACCCACAAATTACTTTGTTTAATCTGTCTGTATTTTGTACATACTCATCTACGTATATACTATTTTCCCTGGTAGAATATAAGCTTCTTGAGAACAAGCACTATTTTCCCATGTTTATATCTCCAGTAATTTGACACATAGTAGAAGCTCAATAAATGATCGTTGAATTGAGCTTGCTAATATGCACGAAATACTTTCAGAAATGCCTTGTACCCCCTGTAATAATTTCCACTTGGATCTCAAAATAAAATGTTAATGTATTAACAGTAGGCCACCTGTTTCTGATCTCTTTGATTCAGAGTCTTACATCAGCCCCAAATCCAGATTACTGGCTTCTGGTTTCTTCTCTCCAGAGACTTCCCAGGAAGCTCTGCTTTAGCCCCAGATCCAGCCTACCAACCTCGAGCCTCTGTTTTGTCTCTAATAAAGCCTTCTCCAGTGGTTGGAAGGCCGTGCCTGGACCAAATTCACCTCAAAGTGACAGTTCCTGCCGCCTTCCAGTTTTTACCTTTGCCTGTTCTGCCTGCTCTCAGGTGGACCTTCTGGAATTCATTGGACAGAACATCACCATATGCAATAAGGATGGACCTTAAGGGAAGGCCTTAAATAGTTCAATTTCCTGCAATCCTCACAAGATCGCTCTCTCTAGTCAGTGATACTCTGCAAGGACTCATTCAAAATATCATACTGCCACGCCCTCATATTCTCCTCATTTAAGTGATTCTGAATCCTGAGCTGTCACTGTACAAAACACCATTCCTTACTACCTGATTCCTTACTCTCACTCGCTTCAAACCTACCTCCCAAATGCCCCACTTCAAATTTATTTACTCGTTCCACTGTGCTCTCTGAAATGCTTGTTCCACCATTAACAAACTTGCTTCCATCTTAAATCTTTCCTTTCTCACTCCTTCCATTTTCTGGAGATCTGGCTCCCCACTGCATCCCTGCCCACCCTTTCCAATATTAGCTGCAGTTTCACTCCTGCCCTCCCCCACCATTCACTGGTCACAGTGAGAGGATTGGAATATTCCTTGTTTCCAATTACTCCCTCTAGACTTTCCCTCTACCACCATCACTAAGTAAACTGCACTCCTCTGAGGTTCAGACAATCCATATTTATTATCCCCATCAAGATTCCGGTAGCTGTTTTCTATGAAACCCTAGGAAATGTTTCTTCCTCAATGAGTTCAATAACTGACTGATGTCCTTTTTCTCCTCCCCATCCCCTGCACTCATTCTAGGAGACTTCAATATACTTATTGATACTCCCTCAAACACCCTATCCCAGTTCTTCAATGTAATAATTTTCTATGGTTTACCCCTCTGCTCCTCCATAGCTACACATAAATGGTCATCATTTATGCCATCACTTGCCATCACTCATCTAAAATTCCTTTATATAATCATAATCTTTTATTATTCCATCTTTCCCTCTATGTTGTGACTCACTATCACTGTAGCCTCCAATCCTTCACCCCTCAGTTTTTTCCCAGGCCATCAACTCTGCACTGACTATACTTTCATCCTCTCTCTACCTCAACCCCTTAGTGAAACAATTCAAATAATAAACTATCCTCTACACTCAAGTACCTTTCCTCACTCCCTTACCCTATCACTGATTATGCCTTACAAAATTACATCCTAGGATTATTCCCATTGTTCCTATTCCTCTGCTGCTAAACAGAACTAGAAAATATCATAAAACCAAGATGACAGGGTCCACTGCAAAGTCATGTTAACTTAAACTCATCTGGGCCCTCCCTACAGTAAATCAATCCTTTTACACTATCCTAATTAATGCCCTAACCCACTCACCACAGTTGTTGTTTCAAATCTTTCTATCTCTCCTCAAACTCTATACTGCACTCTCAGCTGAGGATCTTGTCACAAACTTTACCAAAAAAAAAAAAAAGTCATTCACCAAAAGTTCCTGCTTCTCCTCATCTTATCTCACTGAGATGACTTTACCTCAGTATGTCTTCCTTCGCTCCACACACAGAGTTGGCCCTGTTCTTCATCCAGACAAATCCCTCTAAATGCACCCTTGATCCCATTTCATCCCATTGTCTCCAGCAGATTTGGTCTCTATTATCCCCTCGCTAATCTTCAATATCTTCCTTATCTACTTGTTGCCTACAAACATGCCCATGTGTCTCCCCAACCTTAAAAAACCCTCACCTCCTCTCCTAGCTATCATCCTATATTTCTCCTTTCTTTCGTGGCAAAACTTCTTGAAAAAGCCTTCTACAATAAGTACCTTTACATCCTCTCCTTTCACTCTCTTCTAAACATTGTGCAATCTGGCTTCTGAACTCATCATCCAATTGAAACTGCTCTCAAATCTAATGGCATTTTCTTTTCTTTTGTTTTTTGAGGATTTGGGGGGGGTTTTTTGGGGGGGGGGTTGGTGAGGCAATGAGGTTAAGTGACTTGCTCATGGTCACACAGCTTGTATGTGTCAAGTGTCTGAGGCCACATTGGAACTCAGGTCTTCCTGAATCCAGGGCCAGTGCTCTAACCACTGAGCAATCCAGCTGCCCCAATGGCATTTTCTTAAGCCTCATCTTTCTTAACCTCTCTGCAGACTTTGACACTGTCAATCACTCTCTTACACATGAATACTCTCTAAATTTATTTGACAACTTTCTGATAGTTCTCTTCCTACCTGTCTGACCACTTTTCCTTAGTCTTCTTGGCTGGATCTTCCTTTAGATCAAGTTCACTAACACAGGTATTCTCCAAGACTCTGTCTTTGGCCTTCTTCTTTTCTCCCTCCCAAAGGTTCCTTTGTAATCCTCTGTATTTTATTTTATGCATTTGAAAACATTATCGTGAGAAAGGGTCCATGGACTTCTCCAGACTGGCAAAGAGATCCATATCACAAAAAGGTTAAGAACTTTTGCTCCATACTTTTTCACCTGGTGATCTCATCAGCTTCCAAGGGTTCAAATATCTTCTCTATGCTAATGATTCTCAGATACATATATCCAGCCCTAAACACTTTCCTGACTTCCAGTTTCCCGTCATAATCTGCTTCTTGCAAATCTCAAACTGGACGTCCCGTAGGCATCTCAAACTCAACACGTCCAAAACAAAACTCATTATCTTTCCTCCCCAAATCCTCCCCTCTTGTCAAGGGCACCACCATTCTCTTAGTTACTCAGACCTGAAACTGTGATGTCATCCTTCACTGCTCACTAGCACTCACCCCACATACCCTATCTGCTGCCATGTCTTATTTTTATCTTTATAACATGTCTGATATATCTTCCCTTCTCTCTATTCACATAACTACCACCCACATATGGGCCCTTAAGCACTTAATAAATGTTTGTTGGCTGACTGATTTGACATCCTGAGAAGGCTTTGTTTGGGGTGAGTTAAGTCTACAATGATCACTTTATTGAGTTCTTGAAATATATTTATCTCTACTATTAATAGTAAAGTATATGTAATATTCTATTTAATTTATTTCTCACAATATGCACTTCCTTTACTTTCAAGATTTTCCCTTAGATCACAGAGAAGTACAAAAGAGGGATTTTGTAACAATTCTGTGTAGTAAAATACACTGAGTTCTTCAAGTATCAAAATTTAAATATTCTATTTTCCATTTTTCTGTGCATTTGTCTCCACTAATCAAACTCTACAGATTATTCAGGTATGAGAATCAGCATAATAACACCAGATATAAAAGATCACATTTACAATTTTCTTTAAACTAGAGTCCACTTAAATAAAGGTTATTAATTTAATTGATGACAAGTTAAAAGTCTGTTAGCCTATTCAGAAAAAATGAAACAGTGTGCCTTGATTTACAGTCAGTATTACATAGAAAAGTACTTGACTTACCCTTGAGAAGATATTTTCCAGAGAACTGGTCAAGGATCTCTTAGCTTTGTTTTTCAAAATGTCAAGTTTGAACCTGCCACTGCTGCCCACATTTTCAGGAACTGTATTATTAGAAAGTGTCTATAAAAGAAGAAAGATAAATTTTAATTTTGAAACAGAATCACAGAAACAAATAAATGAAAGGGACCTTAGGCAACCTCTAGTGTTGATCCCTCCCCCACCCCAAATCCTATTAAGACACTAAAGTCTGAAGTGGTGAAGCAACCTGTGCCAGGTAACTTGACAAGGTAAGGAAGAACTAGGTTTGGAGACTTGGTGTCCTAACTCCCAACACAATGTTCTTTTCACTATATCACACGGTCACATTTAATCATGCTTACCTTCTTTCTTTTGGGTTACTGTACATCTTAGACAACCTAAGAATCCTACTGTACCTAAATAAAGGGTATGTTTCAGTGGTTCAAACTGTGCACAAGTCGCATATAGAGAACACAGCTTCAGGTGTTAAGAGCAAAAACAAAGAAGGCATAAAGATAAAAAGTTCAGGTCTACTGTGTATTTCTTCTAAAGGAAATGAGAAGTGATTAAATTTGGTAGGATGAGAGTCACTGATACTGTTTTGATTACCACTACAATCTGTCTTTTTTTACAAGCTACATGGTTTTATACCAAGCAGGCTGAAGAAAACAGCAGCAGGACATTCCAATGAACAAAGTACCAGTCAGAGAATAAGTAGAGCTATATTCTATTTCTAAAGGTTCTTTCATAGGTACACTAAAAGCACACAAGTAAAGCACTTAATCAGTCAATTAACTTACACGTAGGCAAGTCCCTTAACCTTTTTATGCCTAGGTTTTCTAATATACATTGAATGAAGATATTGGATTTAATGTCTGTTTCCTCACTCATAAAAAGAAAGGACTGGACACTGTGACCTTTATGGTCTAACTCTATCTATGCTACAACAGAATACTAGCTATGTGCAAGATACAGTCAATCCTCAATAGTCGCACCCTTAATTTTTGTAACTTCAAGCATTCATGTGAGTTTATTAGTAACTTCATTTTAACTTTCATGTTGGTAACCACTCACATTCCATGGCTATGTGTAGTAGAGAAAAAGAGACAGGCCCAATGAGTACAAGTTTATATCCGCAAAAAGAAGAAAAGTATTCATAAAAGTGTTAAAGAATCTGCTCTAGGAAGTACTAAAGTAACCTTCAAGTGCACAATGTTGGAACTGAAGAAACAGGTAAATGAGATGGTGGTCACCCTGCCCTCTCATTGATGCTAGGGTAGCCTAGTGTCAGGCCTCCTGCCTCTGCCCATGCTGCTCCCAGAGTGAGGCCGAGTGGAGAGCCATCCAGACTTCTGAGCTTGGACTGGGGAGTCAGGGACTCACCCCAAGGAATATGCTTTTTATAGGGAAGAGTTCAACCACAGAGCCAAAAGGGAGATTAGAGATGGCAGGTTGCCCTTTTCTCTTTTTCACCTCCAGGTTCTTCTGACATCATTGCCCCAGCCCCTTCCCTCCTGTTCAGTACTGCCTCTCCTCTCCCTTGTATTTCATGGGTATTTTCATGATTACTGTGTTAGGAAAACTACATATTATCAGAATTAATGTTTTGTTATAAGGAACTGTATGTAGAAAAGTGTATTTTCAGCAAGCTCTAGTAAAAGATTACAATTTTTAGTGGTCACGTAAACCTAACACCCTATTTCCCATAGGTTTGATGTATCAACATTCGTGTTTTTCACCCTCACAGCATCTTCTAGGAATATTACCTCCCCGAAAGTTGAGCAATGACTGTGTTGTAAGTGATACAAAGAGATATAAAGCATGGTCCTTCAATTGAATGGAATTTATAGTCTGATTGGGAGTTGTGATATACAAATAAAAAGGTAAAATGAGTGGTATAAACAAGTGCTGTCAAACTCAAATGAAACAGATTCCTGAAGGCCATACATTGAAGTAGAAAACTGTGAGCTACAAGCTTGACACCCGCCGGGTATAAGTAATCAATCAGCCAGCAAACAAGTACCTACTATGTACCACGAACTCTGCTAAGTAATGGAGATACAACAGAAGTGAAATAGTTCTTGCCCTCAAAAAACTTTAATTCTTACAGGGTAAGTCAGAAAAGCATTCATGGAAAACAAGAAAATGAAGGGGGTGTTGAAAGATGGATAGAATTCAAACTGGATGGATAGAATAAAAACTGAAGGATATTCAAGGCAGAAGATATGATCTAAGCTAAAACATGAAAGAAGAGAATATGCAAAGTATACCCAAAGTACAGAGAAGAGACCAATCTGCCAAAAGGATGATCACACAGAAAAGTAAAGAAAAAGACAAGGCCAGACTATAGAAAATCTTAAGTGCCAAGTGAAAGGATTTTATGTTTTATCCTATGACTGATGAAAAGCCTCTGAAAGTTTATGTGCCAGGGAATTATATTATGAAAGGAATGTTTTGGAAAGATTAATTTTATGACATTGTTCAGGATAGAATAGTGGGGAGAAGAGATGAGTAAGGGAAATCAGTTAAGGTGGTTATTGTAAGGATCCAGATATCAATCAATCAGTCAATAAACATTTATTAAGTGCCTACTATATGCTAGGTACTATGCTAAGCACTCCTTTTCCAATCTTAAACCAATCAATTGTTCCATGCTTGATTCTATTGCTTCTTGACTCTCATGCTGGTTCCTCAGGAGACAAGAAAGATGTTCTGGTACTCTCATCTCTTTGAGGACTTGTCACACATTTTGTTATAATCCACACAGTCAAAAGCTTTAGTACAGTCAATGAAGCAGAAGTATATGTTTTTCTGGAACTCCCTTGCTTTCTCCATAATCCAGAAAATATTGGAAATTTGGTCTCTAGTTTATCTGCCTCTTCAAAAACCAGCCTGCTCTTCTGGTAATTCTCAGTTCAAATATCACTAAATCCTAGCTTGCAGAATCTTCAGCATAACCTTGCTGGTATATGAAGTAAGCACAATTGTTCGATAATTTAAATATTCCTTGGCCATTTATGAATGAGATTTAAATTGATCTTTTCCAATCTAGTAGCCACCAATGAGTTTTCCAAATGGGCTAGTTTAACACTGGAAAAGGAGTACAACAAAGTTGTATATTGTCACCTTATTTATGTAATTTATATGCAAAGTACATCACAGGAAATGCCAGGCTGGACAAATCAAAAGCTGAAATTAAAGTTGCTGGGAGAAATATCAATAATCTCAGATATGCAGATGATACCACATCAATGGCAAAAAGTGAATAAGAATCAAGAAGCCTCTTAATGAGGGTGAAAGAGGACAGTGTGAAAGCTGGCCCGAAACTTAACATCAAAAAACTGAGATCTTGGCAACTGGTCTCATCTTTTCCTGGCAAACAGAAGGAGAAAAAATTAAAGCAGCGTCAGAGTTTATATTCTTGGGCTCAAAGATCACTGCAGACAGTAGCTGCAGTCACAAAATTAAAAGATGCTTGCTCCTTGGAAGGAAAGCTATGGCAAACCTGGACATCATATTAAGAAGCAGAGAAATCACCTCGCCAATAAATATCTATATAGCCAGAACTATTCCAGTAGCAATGTATGGCTATAAGAGTTGGACTATAAGAGAAGATGAGAACAGTAGAATGAATGGATTTGAAATGTGATGCTGGAAAAGACTTTTGAGACTCACTTGGACAGCAAGGAGATCAAATCAGTCAATACTTAAAAATTTAATTCAGACTATTCACTGGAAGGTCAAATACTGGAGCCAAAGCTTAAATACTTTGGCTACATAATGAGAAGACAGGACTCAATGGAAAAGAGCCTGATGTTGGGAAAGATTTAAGGCAAAAGGAGAAGGGGACAGCAGAGGATGAGATGAATAGACAGAGTCATGAAAACTATGAACATGAATTTGGACAAACTTTGGGAGATGGTGGAGGGTAGAAGGGGCTGGTATGCTATGGTTCATGGGGGTCACAAAGAATCAGACATGGCCTGAATGACTGAACAACAACAACAATGCTAAGCACTGGAGATACAAAGAAAAACAAAAGAAAGCCCCTGCCTTAGAGAAACTAACCATCTAATGGAGGAGACAACAAGCAAATAAATGTGTACAAACAAGCTACACATAAAATAAATAGGAAATTCAACAGAGGGAAGGCATGAGAATTAAGGACTGAAAAAGGCTTCTGATAGAGATGAGGAGAGGGAGCATTACATGCATGGGGGACATTCAGAGAAAATACAAAGTGATAAGGGTCTCAGCTAGACTGACAACAATAAAAATGAAAAGGCAGAGACATATGCAAGATATTATGATAGAAGAATAAATATGACCTGGTAACTGACTGGAGAACATGGCTGGAGAGTGGAAACCATAGATGACTCCAAAATTTTGAACCTAGGTTACTGGAATACTGATGATACCACTGGCAGAAATAAAAATGTCAAGAGAGAAAGCTACTTTTGGCACAAAGATGATGAATTGTTAGTCCCAGCTTATCTTCTTTCCCATGTCCCTTCAACACAACAATATTATATTTATGAATTAATAAATTAATTGATGAATTGATCTTTGTACTGTAAAATAAGAAACAGCATCTGTGTTTACTTTGCACGTATTTGTAACATCACTTTGTTTAAAGATTATACTGTGACTGATGTCACCTGAATGAGTATGGTTAAAAGGGCTGAATTGTGATTTAGTTTGTGGCAGGGGTTTTCATAAACGTAGGACCATATCACTACATCCCATTCTGCTGGTTTACCTTTCAGGCCTCCTAAGACTTTGTTCAAATAACATTACTCAGAGTTCACATTTGTACCTGCATGACAATTTTAAAAACAGTTTTCTCTCCACAAAATCTTGTGAGATAGGTAGTACAATTTTACAGATAAGAAAATGAAGCCTCAATGAGGTTATGGAACTTGCTTACAGTCACAAAGTTACTAAAAGGCAGACAAAGGGCTTAAAACTAGGTCTTATGACTCCAAATCCAGTGATCTCATCACTACCCTGCACAGTCCCTATTAGATTAATCAGAAAACAAAAACAAAATGATATACCTAAAAGCTCATGTCCTTCATTAATTATACACATATGTGATGTACTGATTATATTCCAGAAGCATCTTGGTCTTTTTTAATCAATAAAAAGAATGTTCTTTAAAATTATATTTCTAATACAGTTAGTAATTTTCCTACAAAACCTCCAAACACTGAAAGAAGATGAATAAAAGTATATATAGTTTCCAAGATTTTAGTCCAAAGGAATACAAGAATTTAAGGCATGGAAAATTTTCATTTACCCCTTCTGCTATTTTGGCTAAATGTAAGCAATTTTCAAAAGACCCCTCAATATTATAGTGATAGACACAGACCAACAAACAGAAAAAAAAATTTACCGACTGAGTTTCTCCAATATGAATATGGGTCTTTTGTTTAGTTTCACATAACTGCCTCAAATGCAAAATTACAAGTTCATTTTCTTCTTGGTCATTTACGGGTTTCATTTTCTGATGAAAAGAACAGAACAAAACAAAAAATTTTTTAACAATGTAGCTTCTATTATTTTAGTTATTCTCACTCCTAATTTGTGTGGAAAAGGAAATATCAATAATAATAAGCAACTAAAATATTAGCTATTTTTAACAGTAAAATCAATGTTGACACTTTAGATGTGACCTCTTAGGTAATAAGAACATGATCCATACATCTGTAACTTTGGTTAGGGGAGTAAGAGTAAAATAATCTTACAAACACAGGGTCAGGTCCTGTTACTTATTATTACATATCTTCAACTTCTAAATTTTTTGGATCTTGTTACCTGAACACGTTCAAAAATGTCAGCCTGTTCGTTATCCGTCAATGATGAGAGATGTCTCTGTATTACTAGTTTGGCTCTTGGTGGATAAAGGCCTAAAAAAATCAGAAGAAACACAAATTATATCATAGAACAAATTTAATTCCACATAATTCACTACTGCCCATCTTCACAGCTACGTATTCAAAACAGTAGATCACCTTCTCAATAAGTTAGATAAATCTGCTACCTATGCGTTTATCTGGGTCACTAAGGAAAATAGTGAACAGCACCAGACCAAAGATATATCTCTCGAGAGCACTCTACCTGGAGCTCTTGCTCAAGGAAAACATCAAATCACTAATCAGCATGTTTTGCACCTAGTCATCCAACTAATTCTAAATCCACTTAACAATAAATATCACTAGGGGCAGGTAGGTGGTGCAGTGGACAGAGCTCTAGCCTTGGAGTCAGGAGGACTTGAATTCAAATCCGACCCCAGACACTTGACACTTACTAGCTGTGTGACCCTGGGCAAGTCACTTAACCCCAACTGCCTCACCAGAAAAAAAAAATCCAATAAATATCACTGACTAGTCGACATTAATCTATCTCATCCAAAAGATAGTGTAAAAAACTATCAAATACCTCACTAAAATCCCCAAATGGGGTTATTTGGAATAACCTGTTCTTGATGAGACCTTCCTGGCTCTTAGTGATCACTATTTCACTTTCCAAATGTTCACAAACCATCTATTTAGTGATATATTCTAAAAGTTTGCCAGGAACCAAAGTCAAGCTCACCAGGTTATAGCCTAAGATTCTACCCTCTTCCGTTTTTTTCTTTTTGAATATTTTTGGTGGGGGAGGGGACTGGGTCATCGGCCAGTCTTCAGTCTTGAATCCCCTCTCCTTTTCTACACAACTACTCAAAGATAACAGACAGGAACTCTTTTTCAATACTCTAAGATATAGTAGCCATCCAGCCCTAGTAGCATGAACTTATTTTGGGGTAGGTAGGCACTTTCGGCCATCTTCTCACTTATTTTAGGTCTCAACTAAGCCAAGACTCTGGTACAACCTGAAAGAATTTGTGCTCTTCTGAAATGGCTTTTGAGACAGCAGCGTCACCTCCAAGCCAGGATGAGACAGCCACTGCATGAGATTATCCAATGCACTCCTCCCACAACTGTATTCTCCAGAAACATGAAGGCAAATTCAGCTGTTCCTTTGATTCAGCTAAGTTGTACTAAATGCTACAATTCTCTTTATTTGTTCCACATCATTTTATACTTTATGGAGTTACTAGTAACAAGGTTCTGATCTTAACTACGAAGCACACATGCCCCAGCACATTAAGTCAAGCCTTGTGACACCATGAGCTCTCAGTCTCTGGTCACTGTACCCTGCAAACTTACTACCTCAGGGTAAAATTTCCAGCCATCAGTCCCTGTACATAGACTCCCTGTACTCTCATGCCAGCTCCAAAAATCCAACACCAAGGAGTCTAACAAACTCTACATCCACCTACTCACACATATTGTTCTCTGCCACTCACTACTTTTGTAACCCTGGGCAAATCATTTAATCTCTATAAGCCTCAGTTCCCTCATCTAGAAAATGAGTTGGATGAAATGACCTTAAAGGTCCCTTCCTTCTCTAAATCTATTTTCTATGACATTCAACCCAACCATTAATCTTCCGTTTTCCATGTTCCTCAATTCAGTGTCCATGCTGGCTTCCAGCCACCTCAATACCACATATACTGGCACTCTGGCTGGTTCTTGATGACCCTAAAAGAACTCCTTCAGAATTACAATTCTTTATTCTCCTTCCCATCTGAGCAGAAAAAAACTATCTCTGTCTTCTCCTCTCAGTCCCAAAGAATTCCAAACTCCTGACACACTGGAGTATTTCCTTCATCCTTGAAAATACTCAAGGACTCAACTCCTCCTGGGTGTTCTAGGATCTTGCTCTACTGATTGTCCCTACTTTCACTTTCCTCTTCAATTATTCCCTCTATTGACCATTTCCTTCTGCTTATAAACATGCTGAGGCCTCCTCTACACTATTTTAAAAAACAAAAACACTCCCTTTGATTCTTTGGTCAGTTTTATGTTACCATCCTATTCAAAGTACCATAATAATTTCTAAAAACAAATAATATTGGAAATATTTGCAATAGGATTACAGGCACACATGCAACAAAATCCCAGTGTAGTGGTGTAAATAGGATGGTGATGAGTGAAAGGGCTAGAGGAAGTCCCTCACTCTGCAAATATCCTCCTCACTGAATAAACTATTTAAAACAGAGGCAGGGATACAGGAATGTTCTGGGGTATGCCTGTCTCAGGCCAGCGGTAGTTCAAGCCTGACGTTGGAATGAAAGGAGACGCAAAAAGACTGACAGAGCCATAGCAAAGGAACGCCATTGAGCAAGTGGGGCAGTGAGGACAGCAAACATTGACTCAGGCAATCACAGATCCTGACCTCTAAGTTGCCTATCATGATCAACCAGCCAAGCATCCTACAGTGATTAGGGCGTGTCTATGTGTACTGGGGTGACAAGGAAGTGATGTCAAATGCTTGGGCCTTCAGCTCCCCAAACCAATGAATTCTTTAGGATTGGTTTCACTACCTTTTGAGGAAAACTTCGTAGGGGAGAGAATGCATTAGGATATTGTTCCCAGCACAGGAAGCAACAAGATATAGACTGACACAAGAATCTAAAAGGAGATTCATGAGATGGAAACCTCATCTCTACCCTTTGTCCTGAAGTAGTTCATTTCTGCCTCCAGTTGTTTATTTCTTCTATGATATGAATTTTTTAAAGTTGCTTCAGGTTTTAGTATCTGTTTATACTATCTCCTGTAAATCAACTTCAAGCTGGCTAATAAATATGATCAGGCAGTAATATTTCTGGGAGTTTTCATTTGGGGCTCTCTTTCAGGAGGTGATCGGTGAATTCTTTCTATTTCTATTTTGCCCTCTGGTTCCAGAATATCATGGCAATTTTCCTTGATAATTTCTTGAAATATGATGTCCAGGCTCTTTTTCTGATCACAGCATTCAAGTAGTCCGATAATTTTTAAATTATCTCTCCTGAATCTATTTTCAAGGTCAATTGTTTTTCCAATGAGATATTTCACATTGCCTTCTATTTTTTCATTCTTTTCGTTTTGTTTTCTTGTTTCTTGATTTCTCATCAAATCATTAGCTTCTATTTGTGCCATTCTAATTTTTAAGGAATTATTTTCTTCAGTGAGCTTTTGTATCTCCTTTTGCATTTGGCCAGTTCTTCTTTTTAAGGCATTCTTGTCTTCATCAGCTTTTTGTACCTCTTTTACCATTTGGCCTAGTCTGTTTTTTAAGGTATTATTTTCTTCAGTATTTTTTTGTATCTCCTTTACCAAGCTGTTTTTTCCATGATTTTCTCACATCATTCTCATTTCTCTTGCCAATTTTTCCTCTAACTTTTTGGGCTCTTCCATGGCCTATTTATATTTTTTTTTTGGAGGCTTTGGATATAGGGGTTTTGACTTTGTTCTTCTTCTGCATAAATGTTTTAATCTTCCTTATCATCATAGTAACTTTCTATGGTCAGAATTTATTTCTGTTGTTTGTTCATTTATTCAGCCTATTACCTGACTTTTAAATCTTTGTTAAAATAGGGCTCTGCTTCCAGGGTGGAGGGTGCACTGTCCCAAGCTTCAGGGGTTTTGTGTAGCTATTTTCAGAGATACTTCTAGGGATCTGTAAGTTTTCATTTCTTCCAAGGTGGTACAATCTAAGGAGAGGTGTTTACTCCTCTCCTGGCCTGTGCTCTGGTCTGTAAGTGACACCAAGCACTCTTTTCTGCCCTGGAACTGGGAAGGAAGGTCCCCACTCCACTGTGGCCACAAGCTCTGGTGTGCTAATGCTTCTTGTCTTGGGACTGCCACCCAGGCCTGAGACCCGGAGGATCCAGGTATGGGCAAAGCAACAGAGTCCTGCCTTAGTGCTGGCAAAGAGATTCTTATAATCTCCTTCTGACCACTGTCTGTGGGCTGACAGCTCCAGAAGCAGCTGCTGCAGGTGCTGATTCAGTGGCTCCCAAGGCCTGCTCCTGGTTTGCTGGTGCCAGGTCTGCGTTGGCATGATCTCTGCTAGACTGCACTACTCTCTCACCCTGGTGCAACAGACCTTTCTTGCTGACCTTCCAAGCTGGAAAATTGTTTCACTCTGTCTTTTTGTGGGTTCTGCTATGCTAAAATTTGTTTAGAATCATTATTTAAAGGCATTTGGAGGGGTTTGAAGAAAAGCTCAAGTGAGTCCCTGCCTTTACTCCACCATCTCGGCTCTGCCCTCAACCTAGTTTTTCAATAAGGTCATTAAATACCTTCTAACCAAACTCTATTTGCAAAGTCACAAAATCTTATTGTAACACTGTTTGTCAAGTCACTCACTGATTGACTAAACTATTTCTATGGAACTAACTGTCCCCTCTCCGGTAATGCTGTTTTACTTTTCATATTTTTGTGAATCTAATTAATGAGAGTCTGGTGGGGAGGCAGCAGGTGGGGAGAGAATATATGGTATTTAGCAGTGAAACTACCATAGACCCCAGAGTATCTAAAACAGGATATTCAACTTTTTGTGTTAACAATGTTTTACCCTTAAGATTTTATTTCCCTCCCCTAAACAGCAGCCCAAATTGACAAATGATTAGAGAATGTAGTCTGTGAGACCATGACCTCATAAAATTTCAAGTAATTCAAATTTGAATGGTTCTTAACATTCCAGGAATCAAGCCTTAATCACTAAATCCATTTAAGAAATGTCATTATATTCAAAGTTCCATGAGATAAGTATGGAATCTTTTTCAAAAACTAAAGTTTATTCTATACAAATACGAGCTATTGAATTCTCATAAAATCACTTTTTTTTCCTTTCTTTTCCTGAAACCCTGGGACATGCTTTGTCCCCTAGAGAATGCTTCACTAGTCTTTCTTAAAAGTTCTGAATTTCGATTCAGAAAAATAAATACATCAATAACAAAAAAGAAATCACTAACCAATAGTAACATTTTATGAGATGAGATTTTTGTCTTCCTTCCCTTCAACAAATATTTGCTCAAGGCCTATTTGAGGCAGAGAACCTTGCTAAGGGCAGCTCTTCTCTGTCTATCTCCTCCACCTGAACATCCAGAGAATACAACATATGCTTTGGTCAGAAACCAAGAGTCATTTAATAAAAGTAGAAACTTTTTCTTCCGGTTTAGCAAATACAAGTCAAGTCAATAGGCATTTATTAAGCACCTCCTATGTACCAGGCAAAAATTAAACTTACTTTGTGGAAGCCAAGTCAATACATACCTTCAATTCTTTCACAGAGTTTGTGCAAAGAGTGCATTGGACAGGCCTCACACAACTTAATCTGGGTTTTGGCACTCTGAAGGGCAGCCGCTGTGGTGAAGGCTTGTTTCAGGGTAAGCATTATCTCATCCACCTACAAGAAGAAACAAAATTCATGTCTATAAAGGGTTGCTCTTGTGGTACCAAATAAAAAACTTATTCAGCAACATAAGACTTTGCGTGAGCATGAAGAGACAAAACAACGGGAATCTGAAGTCAGCTTTGATTACTGGTTACCTGGATGTAGTTTTCAAATCAGTCTGACTGAGTGTTCATTTGATCACAGATTAGTATGCTTTTTAAACTAAATATTTTGACAGAGATCTCTGAAAGTTAAAAAGATCACTTGCAAGATCCATCAGGAGCAGCTTGCTTGTGGCTATGTCTGTTGTTATTCTATGAACAGCTATCAGCTGTGGTAGTATCTACTCATATAATTTTACTTTTGATATGGTTTTGTGGGGGAGAAGGAAGGAATGACTTACGTAATCTATTTCATTCAGAAAAAAACAATTCTATGGTCAATGGTATGTCCTCAGAACCTCTAACTGATCATCATTCTACTTTTGACCCATGTGAAATACCAACAAAGCTCTGGGTCCCACTACTGACCTGGCAGCATCTCAGGCCGACTCATTTCTTTTTTGTTCTTTCATTCAATTGGATCAGGAGATTTGAATGCAGCCTTCTAAGTTTCCTGCTTGCTACACTTGAGGGCCAAGTAACAGTTCATCTACAGTCATTGTTCAGTTGTTTAGCCTGTGCCCTTGCCTTCTCTGTGATACAACCACAAATACAGTAGCGTGGTTTTCCCACACCCCACAGAACTGGAAAAGGTCAAACTCTATAGTTTTCCTGAAGACAACAAAGAGTGATAACTTCTCACCAGAAGCACTTTAGATATTCAAAACTAGAATCGTGCTTAGAACATACTTTTCTTTTAGAAACTGTCCCGTACCATTTGGCCTCGTTTAAGGAAAGGGTGCTATTTAAACAATTAGGTTAACTTCCATATTTGTATGTACAAGGCACTGAATATGCAGATTAGATTAAGAGTCTTCTAACGTATTATTCTCACCCTCTTGAGATGGATACTTGGGAAGAATTTCATGTAAAATGGATTCACTCACAGGGCCTTTGGGATCAGCTACTTTATGCTTCATTTTCAAAAAATCAAGGGCTCCAAAACTTGTGAGGGGAAAGTATGACACACATTCCCTTAGCTTGTTTTCGTTGTGCTCAACTTTCCAAAAAACTATTTTGAATGGCACATGTATGTATGTTCACTGCTAAGGGTTGGTTTGTTTGTTTGGGGAGGGGGCTACCTTTTACTAAATGCACTTAAGGATTGGTCCCCAATTAATAATAGTAGCTTCAAAATGCATTTAACTTGTTCAATTTATTTAGTCTTACTGTAAAAGATTCCCTGAATAATTGACTATGCTGAACAGAGAGATGTAAGTATAAAATCTTCTTAGTCATTTTTACAACAAACAGAAATGGAACCCTTCCCAAAAGGCTCTCAAATTTATTTGCATGTTTCTACCAAATTCCAACAAAATACACTGATTACTATTATTCTAAAATTTTAAACATATTGTTTTATTTTATATCTCCCATTGAGTTCCTAGAACATTAGCAGAATCTACTAAGGATGAATTTAATAAATAATATTTACATACCACTTATGATGTGCCAGGCATTGTGTACACTGTGCACTTTACAATTATTATCTCATTTAATTTTAACAACAATCCTGGAAGATAGGTGCTATTATTTATCCCCATTTTACCAATGCAGAAACTGAGGCAAAAAGAGGTTAGGTGGCTTATTCGGGATCACACAGTACTTAAAGTCAAATTTGAATTCAGGTCTTCCTGACTCGAGACCCAGTGCTCTATCCACTATGCAGCTTAGCATTTTTAAAGTCATCTCAATAATTCAATTTCTCATCGGTTATAAAAGGATCTCAAGATGTTATCTGGTTTGGTCTCTTATCTTACACAGTTGCACATATATATGAGCCATCTAAGATGAATAGTTATCAATCCTAATTTTACAGAGCAACACTAACGAAATGGCAATCTGTTTCACTACCAACAGTCAAAAATCTTTGAAGGCATAGGTTCTGCAGCATTTATCTTTATATCCCAAGTACCTAGCACAGTGTCTTACACACTCTAGGTGTTTAACAAATGTCTGCTGAATCAATAAATTAAAGAATGCCTTCTTTTATTGCTTAGAGAGGCACATGAAGAAGTAAAAGAGGACTTTCTGGATGACATCCATGAATTCCCAAATGGTCTAATGACTTAGTTGTATGGCTGTAGTTTGCTGCATACTAAGTCCATTTGCTTTATGCTCTTAACAAATCCCTATAGCTATCCTTATTAAGTCATCCCTTTCTTATCTCTTTTTCTAGGCTAAACAATCACAGATTTTTTAAAACTTTTCTTCCTGTGAACTATTGTTCCATTCCTTCAAATCAATTCAATAAATATTACTTACCTCTTATGTACAAGGCACTGTCCTGGGGATAAAAATACACACACAAAAAAGGAGTAGTCCCTGCCTACAAGGAGCCTGAGGAAAGGAGGTAAGGGGAGGAGGAGAAGAAAAATCATTTAAGAGAAAGTATACTACCACAAGGGAGGATAATGAAGGCAAAGAAAAAATTTAGACAATGTACTCTCCATTTCTATCATTCTTCTCTGGACTATGTGATTCAAATACTATTGATTTCACTAGTGAATTTCACTAATTTCACTAACTTTCTAATTCACTAGTGAATTGTTGTGTGCTTCCAAGTGATTCCAAGTAATGTTTCACTGTATTTGGGCAATGGTATGGTACTTACAAGTGTTGAGGAAAGAAGGAAGATAAGAGTTAAAAGCTGCTAGCTTTTCCATCTCTTTACACATGCAGATCCAACATTGAATACAGGATTTAACAAAGGGTCTAACCAATGCCAAGTATAAAAGAATAACTTCCCAAACTTCATATATTGTTGTCCTATTAATACATTCCCATGTTATATTTGCTTTTTTACAGTATCATGAAGTTTATGAATATTCACATGACTCCATTGTCCCAAATTTTCTGCTTCTAAGTGGTCTACCTTTTTTCATCTCTACATTCTTAAACCTCTAACTACTCTACTATGATCAGTTGGAGGAAGTTGCAGTGAGGCATTATTAAGAGACAATATAAGTAAAAATTTCCCAACAACTAGAGCTGTTTAAAAGTAGAAATAGCTACTATTTTTTTTTTATGACAGACACTGGGGTCCCTGAGGGTTTTCAATCAGAAGATGGATTATTCCTTGTCAACAATGTTGAAAAAGACATTTTCATTCAGGCAGGGGTTGACTAGATGCCTCTGGGGGCCCTTTTAACTCTGAAGTTCTGTGAATTTCATCCACCTTTGGATAGGGAACATCTGGCAAAAATTCCAGTTGCTTTGAATCCTATGGTTTGGTTTCTTCAGCTTATGTACTATACTAATCCAGGAGTAGAACATTCTTGTATTTCTGATTATTAGTTTATAAATTCAAATAAACTGCATTACGCTGCATAGGAGCAGAAAAAATGCTTCCGGTATATTCTTTGTACTCAAAGATAAGACCCCCAGGTGTGACTGTGTAATATGCTGTCTTACACACCTGCCAAGGCCATACGCATGAGACTGTCCCTGGAAACCATACTGCTTAAATGACTTTGTTTTTGATCCCTGTATGTCAGCTGTTTCAGCTGTCCCTCATTATGTGGATAATTTATATATAACTGTTCTTCTATCTCATAGTTCTGATGCCTCTCTATTTTGTACTGTGTTTTACTAATATAATCATGGTGACTAGAGTTCCTGGTTTCTGGAATCATCTTGCTCTAAAAATGATTGTCCTGAAACTGAGACTCCAGGATATTTTCAGTACAATGCTAATACATTCACAACGAGTCCAGTCTGTTTCCTTAGTCACGGAGTTGCTGGGTTATTAATGCTGAAGGTACCCAAGCTTCTTATACTGACTTCCCTCTGCCAAAACTATCCTATGTCTGAGAAATGACCAAAGGTAACAAATATTTAATAGTATTTGAAATCACTAAAATACACTAAAGTAACTGACCGACCCAAAAGGTAACTTCTTTTTTTCCAGGTTGGTCAAAATGTATCTTAGGATATTAGGAAAACTCCCTTCATTCTTTCCACATTCTCCTCTCCCCAACAAAAGCTATGAAGTAAAGATAGAAATCTTAAGGAAAGTGTACTTAATTAACATATTCTTCCCTTTAATACAGTCATAGAAAGTAGAGGGTTTGCCAGCACCTAAAAACTGACTAAGATCATATTAGACATCAGAACAAGACCCTTAGCTACAGGGCACAGCCTTTACTGGCTTTGGGAGAAGACAGAAATTGCAAACCAGACACTGTCTCCCTTACAGTGAATGACACTGGGAAGAACAGACACTTCCATCCATTCTCCCTCTACTTCTCCATTTTGTCTCTGTCATTGCCAAGCAATAATAAGCAAAGGCTGCAGTGGAGCTGGGGCGGGGCAGGAGGGAGGGGTGTTGAATAACAGGTCTGATGTCCAAGGTGGTATATGTATAGCTTGTAAGGATGTGCATATTTCTGGAGACAATGTCCAAGTTTTCTGTGTTGTGTGCTTCCAAGTGATTCCAACTAATGTTTCCCTGTATTTGGGCAATGGTATGGTACTTACAGGTGTTGAGGACAGAAGGAATTGGTATTAAATATATAATAAAGATGGCTTGAGTAGAGAACAGGTAAAAAGCATGGATGACTAAAAATATCTAAGTAATTTTTTAACTCTTATCTAAACCTCCTTTACTCAGTTGGTTCCTGTATCCTAATTAACAAAACTGATTGTTTTGACCTGGAGATAAAGAAAAGAGTACAGGAAAAGAGTGAAAAACACAACATGGAAAATTCAGACCAGAAAACAAGGCAATGTAAAAGAAATAGGAAAATCTGTTTTTTTAAAAGCCCAGAAAAAAAAATACCCAAAGACTGCAGACAAGAAGATAAAGATCAAAGCAAAGGAGGGAAAAATGACCCAGCTTTTTTTCCCCCTGACCTTTTACTGGTTTTTGTTGTCTTACTCTGAAAGCAGATTAGAAGGAAATAAGGAATCAACCCTCTTCCCCCTCTTACAGTGAGTAAGGAAAAAGAAAAGCAGCCTTCCCTGGCATTCCCACTGTTAAAACAACACACACTTTTTAAATGATGGGATTTTTAAGCTCAATGAAATGCATAAACTTAAGAAAGTGAACATGCCTACATCTTGGTTTTGGTGTTCCATTCTTCTGCTGTTTTACGAGGTTTGAAACCCTCTCGGGTGAAAATGATCTCTCCCTTCTCAAACTGCCCACAAAATTTTGCCTGAACATCTCCTTTGCATTTATCATACTGTCTCTTACATTACAGCTACTTATGTCAGCCAGTCAACAAGTATTTATTAAGCACCTAGTATGCACCAGGTACTGGTCTAAGAACTGGGGCTTCAAAAAAAAGGCCAAAGACAGTCCGTGCCCCCAAAGAGCTCACGATCTAATGGGGAAAACAATATGCAAACAGCAATGTATATTTAGCTATATGTAACACTAATTAGAGATGTTTGTGTTTTTGCCCCTTTTAGATTGTAAGCTCTTTAAAAGAAGGGTCTGTATCAGATCTATCCTTGTGTTTCCAGAGCCTAGCATATGCATTTTTTTATTGATCTAGACCTGTGGTTTCATTGGTATGGGGAATTCCCTATGGGGAAACTCTTCCATCTGTGCTGATGAGTCACTCCTCTGTCATCGGTAGTCTTAGTAAGGCAGTCTTTCCAAGGACATAGTAAAGTTATTTTTCTCATGGTCAGTCAGTGTCAAAAACAGGAACTAAAGCCAGGTCTTCCTGAAACAAAGGCCAGTTTTCCATCCACAAAACCCATCATGTCATTCACATAGCAGTAGGTGCTTAATAAATGTTTAGCACATTTGATGAATTCAAATGTTTCCTCCATGCTCTATTTTCTTATTGCTTCTTTAATTAGATTGAGAAAAAATAGCTTTTTTAATAATTTATTCTGCCAGTATGAGAAGTAAATAACAATAAGATCGCTTACCAAAGATTCACTTGCACACTGGAACACATAACAAATATACTGATTCAACCCAGGTTCTTGAGATTCCCGACAGATAAATCCAAAGTGATCAACATGCTTTATACCCTGGAGAGGGAAAAGAAAGAGTAGTATCCTTAGAAATGAATACATACCCATACACATATACCCTTTAAGAAGTCACTGAAGTCCAATATTAGAGCACAGGGAATGTATATGTTTTCACATGAGATCCATACAACGACTTTGATATCCAGTGAAATCAAGACTGAGATCACTCAAGCATACTTTATTTGTAACAAATGCTATATATTATTCAAGGCTTCAGGAAGAGAAATATTAATGGCATCAAGCCACTATACCATGTGATATATTATACATATTCCACCTCTTATCACTGAGTTTTTTGATCTACTGTCATCAAATGGTATACTGACCATAGAATAAATCTGAAACTATGCAAATGCTACACAAGTACAAGGTGACAAGTCTAATGAGTTAACATAAACTAGTTCTTTTAAATGGAAGAATTTCACAGGATTCAGAGTGAGAGTTGGAAGGAACCTGAGAGGCATCATCATAACTAGTATTTATAGAGCAATATAAGATTTGCAAAGTGTTTTACATATGTTACATCATCTAATCTTCACTACAGTTTGAGGTAGGTGCTATCATTTGACAGATGAAAAAACTGGCTGAGAGAGGGTCACTGACTTGCCCAGGGTCACACAACTAGTAATTATCTGCAGTAGGATTCAAATTCAGGTCTTCCTGACTCTTAAGTCCAACCTCCTCATTTTACAGATAAAGAAGCTGAAGTTCAGAGAGATAAGATGTTTGCCCAACTTGCCCAGGATCACAGTTTCAAAGGCAGGATGTGACCCTATGTTTTCTTAACTCTAAGTTTACTATATCCAGTGTTATCAAATTCAAATAGAAACAGAGGCCACTAAATTGTACATAAGGATCCCTGAAGGCACATAGTGACTCAGAAAACCACACATTAACATTATCTATGTCTTACTGTGTTTTTATTTATTCTGTTGAATGTTTCCCAATTGCATTTTAATCTGGTTCAGGCTTCACTCAGGAGTGTTGAAGGCTACCACGTGGCATGCCATGTGTTTGCCACCTCTGCACTATGTCCCACTGCCTGCTCAGCTACCATTAAAATGCATTGTCCATGTAAATAAATTACACTCTAGAAACCACCACACAATAGAAGAGTGACACACAAAAGACTGGAGCCAGCAGCTGTCCACACTTTTCATTCAGTGATGACTGCCACAGTGCCTGAGTAAATCAGTACATTCTACAAATCACCCTACTTAATTGCTACTCCTCAACTCGAGCCTAGATAACTTCCAAAACACCTCTTAGAGAATGCTCTGGCCTTTGTTCCAATCTCCTCTAGCCAGCCAGCACTTTCACACATGCAGCAACTGGCTAGAAGGACTATACTGTTTTAAAAGCAAATGTGTTACCAGCATAAAAATAGGAATGAGGCTTAAACTAAACCTGCAGATACCTAATGTGATTCCTTAGATGCTAAAGTTAGCTTAAAGGCTGCAGAAAGAGGATACTGATGCTCTAGCATGAAGTGATCCAGTAACCAAGGGGTAGGTTGAAGAATCACAAAGTGCAAGTAATCTGAATCTGACACAGTTCATTAGTGACTGAAAGAAAACCTTTCATTAGCTCCACAATGAATGGAGAGAAAAACACACACAAAACTTCCATATTCAGAGGTCCTCATTAGCTCAGTGGGTCTTAAAACACTGACATGATGTTTTCGTGTTTTCAGTAAAGAAAACAGCCCTCTTTCCTGAACTGAGGAAAGCAGTACTTCTCACTCAAAAAGGGACCCTACACTATTCTCTTCCTAAATTCGGCTATCTTCAACCAGGTAGAGCCTAAGGAAAGCTAGAAAATCGAGCTGGATAAAAGAAGTTAAGTAAGGCTATGCAATAAGGTAAAGTAAAGCAAACAACATGTGTCCAGATGGGGCAACTTACTATGAAGTTTTACTTTGCTCAGTTTAAAATATTTTCAAATTAAAAAAAGGTAAAAGTTACCAACTAATATATTTGAATTGTTAGATTTTTTTATTTTCCAATGATTACAGGGTAGAGGTAAAGAGGAGGCCACTGATGGAATAAGGGGTTAAAGGAATGGGAATTGTGACAGAACTGGTTAAAAACACTAGTTTTCTTTTTTCTATCAGTTTTAGTTCAAAGGAATAAGCATGACCACATCATACCCACAGCCCTCACTACTTAAGATTTTGAGAAACACTATTTATTAAGGGGTGGACATGACGGTAGGCAAGTGGTAATCTAAGATTACATGATATACACACATACATTTAAAACAACCTCAAGCACATAAAACTAAAGCCTAGCTTTTTTGGATCTAGTTATTTTCAGGTCTATTTACATGTATTATATGGGCTTTTTGTTTAAATATTATCTCCTGTAATACATACCTGAGAACAAGAAGATATATCTTTAAAATTCTTTTCAAGAACAACTGACTTGGAATCTGGGCTGATTAGATTAATTTCAAATCTCCCAACCTTGAAAATAAAGACATACTAATTATTTTCAATGCAAAAGTACTTAAAGTTTCACTTTATCAATAAAAATTCAATTCTGCATATACACTTAATTGACCTGTCCCAAATATACCAACCCTTCTCAATCCATCTTTTAGCTATGAAATATCAATTCTCCAAAATAATTTCCCTACTTCTAAAAAAATGTATAAATGTATAAGCTTAACTATGTTAGCTTCTTGTGAGACAATGAGTTTGAGTAGATTTTTGTTTTAACTCTGAACTGGAATAAAACTATTACTACCAAGTTTCCTCACAATAATATAGTATTAGCCTAAGAATTTCTAATACAAATGTAGACTGACCTGAAAGGGAAAGATAACCCTTAAAATCTTATTAAAACTTACATATTAGTCTAGACAAATCTAATCAATATGCTCCCTTGATACCATCCTTCTTATGAAAGTTGATCCATGTGTGCTGAAGCAAATGATTGTTAAAACATTTGAATGAGCTAGGTGGTGCAGTGGATGGAGCACCAACCCTGGAGTCAAGAGAACCTGAGTTCAAATCTGGCCTCAGACACATAATACTCACCAGCTGTGTGACTCTGGGCAAGTCACTTAACCCCAACTGCCTCACCAAAAAAAAAAAATTTGAATGAGTCACCAAAGGAAATTTTGGCATTTTCTCTCTTAAAGTTCCTTAAAAATAAGCAAAGGTTCTCATCTGTATGTTATATAATTGAGGAATATCCCTAAAGAGCTGTGGGTTGACCAAATTACCCCTCTGGTCCTACAACAGAAGGAACTTCAGGATCTCTCTATTTCATAACCTTAAGTTGCTTTATTTTGGCAGGGGTAAGGGATGGAGTGAGAACTGAAGGGGAATAGTAGAAAAGACACTGTTCTGATGCCCACAGTATACCTTTCCCTGAATTCTTCTGATGACAGAAATATGCAATGACTAAATCAACTATTTCTTCAGTCTTCTTTCCTGACTGCCTGATATTATCTATTTATGCTTGTGTGTGTGTGCGTGTGCGTGTGCGTGTGCGTGTGCGTGTGTGTGTGTGTGTGTGTGTGTGTGTATCCTCAGAAAACTCTGATGACTATCCATCCAGCCTTTCCTTTTTTCATTAGGAAATTTCTTTTACCTCTCCCATGCCTGGTAAGAGTTAGTGATTCCCTCAAATATGCTACCCCACCCCAGATACCTTCAGATGTCTTATATGCAGATCTAGGTTAACAGCATTTATTTATGGATTGATACTATGCAGTATACTGATAGGAGAGACCTAGAGCCACAAAACGTAACCTTTTGTCTCCTTAAATTTATTCCACTTTGCTGTTTTTAATCTACTCTTTTCATATCTGTTCCTTTCTTATGCCCCAATATTCTCCCTTTCCAATTTCCTTAAATCTTTTCTCCTTTCTTTTGGTCCATAGGTCATTTAGACCTAAAAAGGACCTAAGAAGTCAAATAGTCCAACTCCCTCCTTTTATACATGAGGATATTAAGGCCCAGAGAGGATAAGTGTCTTGCCCAAGGCCACACAGGTCATAAGTGCCACAGCCAGATTCTCTAGCTGAAACCCAGATTCTCTCTGACTCCAAACCTGAAGCACTCTTGCTCTCTTTCTCTTATTTTTAGCCTTGTCTCTACTCTTCCTTGTTTGAGAGTAGGGACGAAAAAGAGGGTTCAATTAACCATTTGGAGGTGACCCGTTTAGCTAAAGTCAACTTGGCTCTCAACTGACCTTCAGGCTGCAATATAAGATACCGCAGACTGCAAAGCAAAGTTCTCAAAGAATGCCCAGTTAAGTACCTGGAACAACATCGTTCTATTCTTCTCTGAGTCAGAGGGTTGGACATGACTAGGGGCACTTGCATGTCTTCTTCGTGGTTGTACTTTTAGGGTGCCATCATGCACCTTCTTCTGTGAAACTGCAGTCACACTGCTACATCGAGACCGAAATTCTTGCTGTTCATCAAAACCAGAATCTTCCAAAATCCTTTCAGGGAAGCAGACACGAGAGCCAGACAGACTTGTCTGTCCTACCACCATTGTTAGGCCAGAGGCAGGAGAGGTTATTTCATCAAGTTCCTCAAATTGACCATCTGCTGGTGAAATGGGTGCTTCTGAGTCAAGGACCACAAGGTCACTACTAGAATCACAACTGCGCTGCTCACTCTGGAGCCGGAGACGCTGACGTTCGTGTAGGCTGAACTTTTCAATGCAGTCATCAATGAGAGTCGATGGGGCCTTCTTATGGGTCACAGTTACCTTTCCACAATAAAGCACTTCAAACTTCTGAGAGTTGTAAAAGGCATCCTCATTATCTTTATTAGGTTTGGCATCTTCTTTCAGGGCTACTTTAGACACTTGCCTTATACTGCTAATAACATCAGGAACCTGCAGGAAAAAAAGAAAACAAAATCCTCATTTCAGTTGTAAAGTTGGAAACCACTTCTATTTCACAATTAACCAACATATAGAATATACCTCTCAAAATGTCTGATAAAATATATAACAATCAAAGGTTAATCTAGGTAAACCAGGAAAGCAAAATCATCACATGACTGATATTTACAGTTTTGTTCAGGTAAAACTCAAATTCTGACATGAATATAACTCTTATGGGTTCATAAAGTTATATCTGCGTCACTATAATAGAGACAACTGTAAAATTTCTATGGAGCTGATATTCAGTAGGTAGAGAACTGGACTCAGAATCAGAAAGACTTGGGTTCAAATTCAACTTGAAACACTACCTGTGTAATCCTAGGCAAGCCCCCTAATCTTTCTGTGCCTTGGTTTCCCCATCTATAAAATAAAAAAGATGGAACTCAATGGCTTCTAAGGTCCCTTTCAGATCTAAACTTATGATTCTATAATAATGCTTTCCAAGACATTATGTTTCCCCAAAAAAGTAATTACAGTTCTCTAAGCATTCCAGTGATGAACATAAAAACTACTGTAAGGTTGAACTGAAGCCCAGAAAGTGCATATGAAAAGTCACATTTATTTGCTTGTTGTCACCTCCATTAGAGTATGAGCTCCTTGAGGGCAGAGACTCTTTTTTGCTTCTTTTTGTATCCCCAGTGGGTAGCATAGTGCCTGGCACACAGTGGGTACTTAATAAATGTTTATTAACTAACTGATATGGTGAATCTCTAGCTAAAATAGAAACTGATTCTTAGATTTTAGTTGTCTATGATATTATGCAAATCAGTTCTCTTTCCTTGAACAAAATTATCTGTTTTGAATATCCAAGAATGTTCAAGACTTAAACACAAGAATTCCAGTTTTTAAATAAGAGAAGATAGGATCAGGCAATTAGACACAAAGTAATACATTCATATCTATCACTTCCTTCTAAAGAGTAATGAAAAACCTGTGTAATGTCTTTGAGATAAGGGACTCTACACATGACACAGCTTGCAAAAGAAGTCAGGTGTTACAGGCCAACACATGACCAAGTAAGTTTAACTCCATGTGGTCTTTTCGCCTTATCAGTTCAGTACTGTTGGCTCTCAAGCCAGATTCTCAAGTAATGGTGCTGGCTGGCAAAAGCACCAAGAGTTTTAAAATGATTTCTTTTCATTAAGTATCTCCACTAAGGGGCTAATATCTAAGATACATAAGGAACTAACAGAAATATGTAAGACCAAGAGCCATTTCCCAATGAAAAGTAACAGGATATGAACAAACTTCTCCAAAAAATTACAAATTATTAACTTCATATTAAAGAGAAATGCAAATCAAAACAACCTTGAGGTCTCACCTCACACTTGCACTAATCAGCAAAGATAAGAAAAGATGGGAATAGTCAGTGTCTCAATGTCGAAGAGGTTTTTTTAAAGATAGCCATGCTAAAACACTATTAGTGGAGTATGAGTTGACCCAACCACTATAGAAAGCAATTTGGAATTATGGTAAAAAAACAAATTAACAAAATGCCTATATTCTTTCACCCAGATATTCCACTACTAGACACATACCAAAGGGATTAAAGACACAAAAAAACCTCCATGCATCCCAAAATATATATATAGTAGCATTCTTTGTGGTAGCAAAAAATGGAAAGAAATTGATGTCTATTAATTGGGAAATTAATAAAAAATGATATGCACAAAAGTAATGAAATTATACTGTACTATAAGAAACTATGAATAAGAACAACACTGAAAAGACTGATATGAATTAAGGTAAGTAATATCAGCAAAACTAATATACACAATGCTTACCACTATGATCAGAAAACATTTCACATGCTGTTTCTGGTTGATATACTGGAATTTCTCATATATTCATTTATTCTCTCTCTCTCTCTCTCTCTCTCTCTCTCTCTCTCTCGTACCCCATCCCTGCTCATCACTCTCCTTTGTAATTTGTCTTCCCTGTCATAATGTAAGCTCTTTGAACAGAAGGAAGGCCAGAAAGAACTTCGGGTGAGCAGGACAGCCTTGAAAGTTATATATTGAAAAAGAAAAGTAAACTGTATATAATAAAGATTTGCAGCTTTATGTACAATCTCCTTTTTTCTGGTCTATTGTTCATGTGGAAATGTGTATTTTACTTGGTGTTTATTTAATTCAGAAGAAAAATTAAAATTTTTAAAAGAATTTAAGCTCCTTAAAAGTGGAGAGTTGTCTTTATATGTGTGTCCCCAGTGCTGACAGCAGTGCTTGGCACATGGCTAGTGCTTTATATAAGATTTTTTATTAATTCATTCATTCTTTGTGACAAGGAATAGCTCTCTGGATAAGTTGGAAAGGGGTATAGTTAGAAATAAAGGTAATGAAAAAGCAATGAAAAGCCAAAAATATTAATATAAAAGCTTCTTTAAAATGATTCCTCTTGATCACAAATCATGCTTTATCAAATATTACTCATCTAGTTCAGTAAACTAGGTGCTATTCAATTCACAAATACAATTCTAGAAATTTGGGGAGAAAATGTTTTAATTCATGTGTTTTGGGTACAGAATTTGGGACCCTCTTTTATGGGGTTTTCAACCTTTATATTACCCTATAATGTCAATGAGATTTTGGATACAGAATCAGTTAATAAGGATGTATTGGCAGGGGCAATCATTTAAATAGGCTGGGGGAGGGGGTTAAAACGAGGGGAAAGTCAAAAATAATAGCAACATTTATCATGGTTTGTTTACATGGTGTTGCCATGTAACAGAAACAAGGAAGCCAAAAAAAGATGGACAAGCTAGGTCACTTGCCATTCTAAAATTCCCATCATAAACTCAGTTTTTCACATGATTACTTAAGATGACAATGGGTTATCCATGTAAAAATACCTGAAAATTCTGCCCAGGTCTGCCACTGGGCAAATCACTTAATCTCTTGAATTTGTTTCTTTTGACTAGATCATTTTTAAGATCCTTAATAGCTCTAAAATTCTCCAGTCCATTACCTTACCAAAAAAAGCCATTTAATATGGCATCTGGTATTGGCTATAAAAAATACAAAAATGTTTTTTTTTTTAATTTTCTTAATACAAGTATACCATTAAGCCACAAAAGATAATTTGGAACTAACATAATATACTGAACCACCTACAACAAGGCTACTATCAAAATTCAAAGGACAATTGTGAGCCAGTTAGAATTTTAAAAGATAGTCTTTACCTACTTTAAATGTTAATAGGAAAAGTCTTATGCTTTAAACAGGGTAAAAATCCTTTAGATGAACTACTGTAACCATATTTGTATGCTCTGAAAGCTACAGAGGCAACAACTGCAAATCACTTCAGAGACCTTTAAAAGTCTACACAGAAGTGGTAAAAGATGACTACTATACTAATTTCTAATATTTAATCAGAAACATTTTTATAAACTTCTGTTTTCTCAAATATCAAAAGACCAATTCATCCATATAAAATGACAAAAAGCATAATGTCTTACACAGCTTTAACTTTCAAAAGCCTCACAATATTGAAAACAGCACAGTACTGCCGAGAAGCAGCACAGTCTTTATGGTTAGCTTCTTCTTGTTATTGCTTCAGTGCCTTTACTAAGGGACTCAGATTGCCTAAGTAAACAATCACAAACATCAAAGTTATTCCTTACTGTAGGAACACTGCTATGTTAGAACCCTGTGCTATCAAACTTCATATTATTTAATTAGTTTTTATAGTTAAATTAGCAAGCACCAAAGAAGCCTGGTAGTGTTAAGCACATTAATTCTTTTAACTTTAAGAATAAATCTTAAGACCGACACATGATTTGAGATTTGTTTAGCTTACCCATGCAAAAGAAAATTCAGAAAAAACAAGAATGATAAAAGCTACCTTTTCATCAGGAATCCAGCTGAAGAGGGGAGCCATTCCCAAGGAATACTAAATTTGACAAATGAATATAGTCCTTAATAAGAGGCTTTTGCCACATTTAGTAGGAAGCGTTCTCTCTTTCTGAATGAGCAATATTTCTTGAAGTTAATGTTAGTATGCCACTACCGGTTAAAAGATCTCCTACTAGTAACCGTTATTGCTTCAAAAGTCAAGCATTTCCTGACAATGAATACAGGAAATACATGAATTGTTCGGGATTTGAAAGCCAAAGAAAGTCTCTGATTTCTTTCAAAAGGAATACTGTAATTTCAATGACCTCTCTTTGCTGTTTAAAATTAACTGGGAATAGGAGTTTGACACTTCTTAATTAGGGAGATATCAGAGTATTAGTCACAGTTTGAAGAACTATCTAGACAATAATCATTTTCCCAACGTTCCCTTTATCTGACTATATTCCAGTAAACCTCTGGAGATGGAATTAAGATGAACAGAGTTCAGAATAAACTACTTGAAACCTCAAGTTTGAAATTAAAAATTAACTAGCCTAACATGTATAGGAGGAATAAAACAATATTCTACAGTATGTCAATATTGATATACCCAGTACTATATTTTTAATTACATGTATAATATTTAATAGGGCTTATGTAAATGAAAGTGGTTAGGAGATTAAACATATATTACAGTTACATGGGAGAGGGGGGAAAAATCAAGATAATCTTTAGACTGACAAAGAATTGTGTTTCATCAGAAGGGTTAGAAATCAGAAGAGTAGTTATACCACTCAACTACCCATAAAAATGGAGCACCAGAAGCAAAAGAGATAACATGCAATTTTAAACTTGGCTTTAGAATGAAATATTTGAGTTTTTATGAATTTTCCTTTCTAAATAGATTTTGTTTAGGCTGACATTAAGGTCAACATGCATTTCCTTTACAGAAAAAAAAAAAAAAAAGACTGACTTCTAAAGGTTGTAGAAAAAGAAGCTACAGGGGCAGCTAGGTGGCGCAGTGGATAGAGCACCAGCCCTGGATTCAGGAGGACCCGAGTTCAAAACCGGCCTCAGACACATAACACTTACTAGCTGTGTGACCCTGGGCAAGTC